TTTACAGAGAAAATGTCATGAATACTGAAGGCCATTAAAGCAAATATTACACTTATGAAAATACTACAATCCTGTACTTTCTTCTCTATAATGTGTAGTGTATGGACATAAATTAGCATATATTACCTTACACCTCTAATAAACCTCATTCTAAACTTGCAAATAATGCCGTAAAAATGCTTAGCACCTTGTCTGCCCACATATATCTATGATACACCTTTCATGGCACATGATCTACCTTCAAGAAAAATAGCGCCAATTCTTTTTTTTCAGTTTGCAAAAATTTCTCTGACTGATCCTAAAGAAGCCATTTTTGCTAGTCACCCATAAAAGAGGCAGGAGCCAACCTAGATTTTATGCAGCTTCAGAGTAGAAGGGGAATTAAGTCAAAGAATCACTTTGGGGGCAAAGGGTTAACACACAGAGATGAAATTACCCTTTTACTTCTCTGCATCTTTTTGAAAAATCTGTGGGGAACTCCAAATATGAAATTCCCATGGTAACATTCACTTTGCCCTGAGCACTAGTCATAAGCTTACTTTCAGAGAAACACTTTTTACTCAGAAGACATTACACCTACTTAATATCATTGTCAGAGATCATAATTTCTTTTCCCCCCACACAGTACAACTTACTAACACTTTTAATAAGCCCTATTATAGAAACAGATTTCAGCTACTTTAAATGGAAATGTCATGAGTTTACAGGAACAGATCTTCACACTGAGGGGAACAGAGATAAAGCAAGATCCCCTAGGGTTTGAAACATGAATTCATGCACAAAACATGCTGGAGTTTCCTTATGCCAAACCCTCTCCCCCTTCAGCAGCCCTTCCACAATCCCCCTTAACAGCACGATTAGGGGGATCAACAGCACCAGCCTTTTAATGTTGTATCTGCTTTATTATTCTTCCTTTCCGTGTTCTCACAACTTGCAATTTTATTTTAAAAGACATTTTCTACTCTGAACCCTAACTTACCTGAGGCAGTGCCTACAACATCCAGTCACTATGGTGAAATAGCTCATTTCTTGCTTAGAATGAACTGGCTTAGTTTAATATAGATTCTAAACTACAGAGATTCTCTATAAAAGTTCACAGAGTTGTTGAACCTGCAAATCTGTTTCTTTGGCCTGGCCTCACAGAATACTATTTTTTACAAGCTACCGGCAACACATGTTTAAGAGGAAATTCTGCAACCAAGGTATTCAGCTGTCCAAGATTTCACAAGCCATACAAGTGTCAGAAAGCTGTGATTTATGGCCCTGTTTGAGGCTTGTTCTTCCTTCCATTTTTTCATATTCTATCAGCAATATTTTCCATATACAGCTGGAATTGCACCTCTCACTTTAACAATCTGTGCTCTGTCCTTATGTATAACACATTGGTGAGGATGTTATTTTTTCAGTGAACTACATGTAAACCAATTTCATGGCACACTGCCCCAAAAGCAGACAGTTCACTGCTAAACAATTATTTTTTAGAAAATAGTCTTGTAGCACTGAATGCTTCTTTACACAAAGTCTATAGTCCAGCACAGACTACAGTCCAGTATTCGGCTAAAACCCTATTGTGTGGGATTGCAACTACAATCAACAACAATAAAAGGAAGATTCTCTGCAGAATGTTCAAATTATAGTTTTTGTAACATTCATACATGCAGAGGGCCACAGATTCAATCCTTGGCATCTCCAGGTAGGGTTAGAGAAAATACAGCAGTCTGAAACCCTGGACAGCTGCTGCCAGTCTGTGCAGAAAATACTGAGGTAGATGGACTACTTGGCCTGACTCAATATAAGGCAGCTTCCTATGTTCCTATCTGTCCTGCTGCACTTTATACAGTCACACCTTGGATCCTGAACACCTTGAGAGTTGAACGTTTTGGCTCCCGAATGCTGCAAACCCGGAAGTGAGTGTTCCGTTTGCGAACCTTATTTGGAACCCGAATGTCCGACGCGGCTTCTGAACATTTTGGAAGTCGAACGGCCTCTGGAACGGATTCCATTCGACTTCCGAGGTACCACAGTACAGTTTGGCACAGAGCAAAGAAGACAGAAGCCTGGCAATTCATGCCGTTGCTCTCTACCCTATGGGTCTTTCAGTATTATAAAGGCAGAACTTTATAAAGATCATGGTTTTTGCAATGGTTAAAAGGAGCCTTTAACATTTTGAAAACAGAAAGTCAGAACATTTACTGGCTTTAAAAGCAAGAACATGTTTATATTGAGGACCCATGCCCAATTTTTTAAAAATTCCACTGATCTATGTATGATGTTAAGGGTTGTGAAAATTACATTTAAAGTCCAAATTGTTGCATTAAGGAACAGTATACGATAAACAATGGCACCTATAAATTTTTGCATGCAATCTTCTCTAGAAACTGATTTCCATACATACGTACTTCAGCCCTAGAGCTCATTAAGTGTGACCTCACTTTAACTGTTCTATGCTGTAAATGCAGCACTGTCATTTACAGCAATATCCGGCTGGGTTCACTCAAGCAAACAAAACTAAACACCACTAAGTACTTCTTTAGGGACTAACAGGCAGGGAGGCCAAATATGAGAGCAAGAGCATATGCAGAAAGCCTTAGGTTTTTCTTCTGTCCCTTAGCACCTTCAGTCTGAATAATGAGGCAATGGAAGTACCTCCTCACTATAATTCTTCTGCCAGCAAAAACAGTACAGGAGTTTGTAAAACGAAAGTCACTGCTCAAACAAATGTGGCCTATGAAACTTTAGTCTTTAGAATCCTATGACTCTGAGTTTTCAGGTAAGTTTGCAGATCTCATTAGTCAAAAGCTTGAAAATTCATCCACTATAAGTCAAAGAGCAAATAAAAAGATGGGCCCTGCAGTCCTATGGTCCCTTGAGCAGCTCCAATGCCAGAGAAAGACCTGTTATTGAATTTCCTCTCCCCACTAGCAAAGCAATTTCAAATCCATCATCATCAGGAGGGCACTACTTTGGCTATCCCTGAACTAGAATATTTTGTTGGTAGAAGGAAACTCTCCACAGCTGGCACTCCAGGAAGAGCTGTTTATTGAAAATGAAATGCCTCACAATACAAGGTCAAAAGCATTGTGGCTCATGTGGCATCAGAGCACTGCACATGTATGGTTGCTCCTATATTCTCATAAATAATGTGCTACTAATGTGCGTGTGTTATTAAATCTGTATTTCTGCTCTAGGTTTATGATACAGTTAAATATAAGTCTTCACTGAGACATTATACACTAATCTGAAAACAAAGCAAGTTAAATCATTAAGGAGTCAATCGGAAAAAGGCCAGACAAGAGAAAGTGATGATTTACAGAACCCTTCTACACTTGGGCACTTATATACATTTCCAGAGGAAGCATATTCTAGAGGTGCTGGAAAGCAACCCTGGGGCTGATGTATGAGAGTGTATAACATTAGCAGTTAAATGTTGTGTTAATTATGTTGACTGCATGTACTTGAGTCAGCGCCTTGCCATTAAGTTTAAAAATAAACACACACTGCCACCTAGTAACTAATGTGAAGAAGGCTAAATCTAGCTGATGTGGAAATAACCAAGCACAGTTAAGGAAGTGCACTGCTTCTATTACTTGATTCAAGAAGGAACAATTTTCTTCAACCCTATCATGAGAGAGACCTGCATCTACAACATTACCCAAACTTAAACATGGTTACTATCTTGTTTTATGGCCCTTACTGTATGCCTTTAACAGCAACCCAACACACAGAAATTCAACCGTGGAACTTTTTCTGACTTTGAAAAACACATTGCAATAAGCTTCACTAGCTATTTTTTTTCCTGATTTCGGCAGCAATAAAAGGAACAGATGCAGGACTTGTAAAATGAGTAGCAACTCTGCAGTGTTGGCATTACAAAATTTATATTCACTGCTACTTAACACCACCAGGCCTGCTTACGCAGGCTCAGTTTAAACGTGACACCACACGAGAAGAACTTAGCTGTGAAGCTTTGCACACCTGCCTTGTCTCATTTGGACCAGGCTCTCAACCACTACAACTGCACACAAACACTTAAAAGTCCACTTGAACTCATGTAGACTTCTGAACAAGTGCACAGGACTGGACTGCCAGCTGGCAGTGTTTGGTGCCAACATAACACCTGCTGGTTCAAATTCCCAACATGCTGCAAGTACACAAGCAGGTGAGATGACCTGGTTTAAATGAGCTACTGATGCATGCCATGTTCTGTTCCTCTTATCTGCCAGGTATGGCATTTACACAGGGCCTCACACCACAGTTAGCCCAAGAACTTTCAACTATCCTTGCGGTAGTTATAGTGGAGCTCCTAATCCGCGGTAGTTATCGGGAGTATGCATCTTTTGGGGAGTAAAATAAACACAGAGAAAACAGAATATAAAGTAGACATTAATGTGAAAACCGGACTTCCACCACCACCCTACTCCATGGGCAAACAGTACTGTACTCCCAGACCTATAGAAATGCCCACATCTCGCCCCAGCCACCTTCTACTGCGAGTGGGTGAAGCAGTTAGGGGGCGAGTCCCAGCCAGAGCTCACCGCTCGCCTCCCCACAACCAGCTCACACAGGAGGGCGCAATTAAGCGCAATTGAGAGGTCAAAGGTCTGGGGCGAAGCGGCAGCGCACCTGAAGGAGCCGGGACTAACTTACGGCGTGTGCCGCCGCCTGCCCACCTGCTTGGGGAGCCGGCGCCAGGCAGCTCTTCCCCTACCAGCAGGCGGCGAAGGGGCGCCCGCGGCTTACGGCAGACCCCCGTCCGAAGCCGCCCGAGTCCCCCTTTCTCAGGCCTCGCCAACGCCACAGGCCTCAGCCTGGGCAGAGACAGCCGCCACCGCCGCCCCCCTCCCGGCCCGCCGGCCCAGGCTGAAGAGGAAGGCACACAGGCAGCGAGAAAGAGGGCTTCGGCCCGGGCGGCAGCCAGCGAGGGAAGAAGGGCCGCCGGGGGTTGGGGGTCCGCCCGCCCGCCCCCTCTGCCCTCCCTCGACCGGGAAGCAGCGACTCACCCGGATCCTGTCCCCCGGGCTGGGGTCTTCGGCGCGGGGCGAGAGCGACGACCAGAGCAGCAGCAGCCCCAGGAAGGAGCCGAGCAGCAGCACCGCGCGCAAGAGGAAGCCCAGCTTCAGCCGCATCCTCAGCGCCAGCCCCCCGACGAGCTCCCCGAAGCCGCCGCCGAAGCCGCCGGGCTCCTCGCTGCCGTTCCCACCCCCTCCCGGCGACTGCTGTTGTTGCTCCTCACTTGTGCCGAGCTGCGCTCTGCGTGGCTTCCCTCCCTCCCCTCCTCCTCCTCCCTCTTTCACTACTGTACTGCCGCCTTTCTCCTTCTCTCTTTCTCTCTCCGAGGCAGCAGGCGCCTGGCGCCGAGCCTCGCTCGCACTCGCGCTCCCTCCCTGCAGCTTCGCTTCTCCTCACTCCTCCCCTCAGCCTTTTTCGAGCTGCTGCTGCCGCCGCCGCCTCCTCCCCTTCCTCGACTCCTGCTGCTCGCTCTACTCTCTCCTTGCAAACCCCCCCAAAAACTTTTTCTTTTTTTTAAAGAACCTCTTTTCTCTCTCCCCCTCCAACACGCCCCGCTTTCTGGTTTTTCCTGTTCTCTTTGTATCTCCCGTGTTGAGTCTTCACTCCCCCCCTTTTTTCCACCGCTCTCTTCTTCCTTGCTAATATTCAGCCCAGCTTGCTAAAATGAAGCAGGAAGTCGCCACGGCCGCCGCCGCCGCCACCCCCAGAAGCAAAGGCTCCACGTGGCTGCTTTACAGCCCGAAGGGTTGCTTCAGGTTGACTTTAGAGGCGGCTTTTCGTGTGTGTGTGTGTGTGTGTGTGTGTGTGTGTGTGTGAGAGAGAGAGAGAGAGAGAGAGAGAGAGAGAGATTGATTCGTTCCCATCCGGAGGTAGATTTCGAAGAGCAAACCCAGCAGAAGCTATGCAAATACGAGGCTTGCTTGCTTGCTCCTGGCTTTGGCAAGGTGGAAACGAGGATCAGTGTGGGTTTGCTCTCTCTCTCTCTCTCTCTCTCTCTCTCTCTGCTCGTCTTTGGACTGGCACAGGAGCAAATCCAACGGTAAAAGGTGTGATCAAAAATTGCAACGTGGAAAAGAGTAGCAATGCCCCGTGATACCCTTCGCACAACGGCGATGGCGGTCACAGAAAGCCCAAGATCTCTCTTGCATGTATGAATGCATGCATGCATGCCTCTGTCTCAAAGGAAGAAGGTAAAGTCACCTTAAAATTAGCTCACAATACGTTTGATCTGCCTCCCGAATGTATACCTTTTTTTGTCGCACAGCAATACCTATGGGAGAATACAGTAAGCCCACAATCGTGCCTAAAGCCAAAATCTCATATAGTCAAAACACATTGGGTTCAATGGCGGGTGGTATTGCCAAAGTCTTTCTCAGATGTTTGGTCCTTTTTCTTTTTTTCCTTTTTTAAATTTGCCAAGCGTGTAAAGCTGAATGTGCATGTAAGTTGTGGGCTTACCGTATATAGTAAAAAGGCAGCTGCCCAAAATGGATCTTTACTCACCTTGAACTGGTGTAAACCATCAAGGGTAGGTTGGAAACCAACAGGTTATATCATATTGCAATGGAGAGTAAGAATTCTCCTACACAGGCTGTCTTTCAGCTCAGAAGGGTGAGCTTTATATGCAAGTCCAGAACAAATAATATATTAAGACATTTGCAGGTGGTAAGTTTCATCTGGCCTTGTGCTCTACATCTGTTGTTTAAACATCCGCAAACTGTCATCCCAATACTGATCATGGATGTAAAATTGACAGCATCAGTTGGTTAGAATGGTAACACCAAGTTAGCAGGTTCGTTCCCGATACGGGACAGCTGCATATTTCTGCATTGCAGGTGGTTGGACTAGATGATCCTCAGGGTCCCTTCCAACTCTATGATTCTATGATTGTAGGAAGGCAGCCCATCATAATAAAGAATAGCATTCAAAACTACTGTGGGTTCCTTCCTCTGTTTCCATCCTTGTCCCTTTTGTTTGTGTGTGACTTGCATCTTAGACAATTCCTTGGTCAAATACCTGTAAACTGCTGAGTGAGGTGGCAACAATTTGTCGATAAATTGTTTTGGTGCTTGAAATATTTGTGCTGTAGTAATGCAAATGGGCAGGTTGGATTTGTATATGTTAGAGTTGTGCTAAGGAACAGTTACCCGGGTCCCATGATCAGGGCTGGATTTACATATAAGCTAAACAAGCTATAGCTTAGGCCCCCAAAAAAATTTAAAGGAAAAAAACCACGGTGTACATTTTCCAAAATATAAGATGATAAACAAATAAAATAAAGCCTACATACAGTTAGAGCTTAATAATTATTTCACTATTAATATACTTCTTAATTGTATTTCAGTTCAACCATTACTTTGATAAAATACATATTTTGTTATGTGCAAATGGCTTTAGATACCTTTTAGGTCCATAAATTACCATATAGCATATATTCAACACAAAAAACAGTGACAATTTGTTGTTGACAAAGGACAGCTGGACATATAAAGGGCCCCATTACCTTCAGTAGCTTAGGGCCTTATCAAACCTAAATCCAGCCCTGCCCATGATGTAATTGTATATTGGATACAACTTGCATTACAGATAGATCTGGCCAGTGTGAAAGTGTTTTTATGGCATCAAGGTCAGCATTGTGGTTCTGTGCCATGGAGTTAACAAATTTTACAGGTTCCAGCTGCAAGCACTTTGACCTGGGATTAAACCCTACTGATATCACTGTGTTTTATTTCTGTATAGGATTGTGCTGTATATTATTGAACCTTACAACTCTTCAGTTTCCTGCTGTGATGGTCCTGGGGATCCATCTAATCCCTCCCCCATTAACTTAATATTTACAGTCTTCACAATACAGCAGCGTGGCGTCAAAACTCAGCAAGCTCAGGCTGAAGCAAAATTAAACCATTGCTCACTTCTTTTATTAAAGACTACTTTTTTCTTTTGTAGATTAACCTGATACTTATTCTTGGCATTTTGGTAGCAATCTCCCCAATAATTCATAGGCAGTATTTTAGAAAAATCTATTTTCAGAAATGTAGCTATGCCAACTTATTATTATTGCTCTGTTGCTTCTGTGTTTTTTGGAGTAATATATTTAGCTTGCATTAGTAGAGGGGTAGAATATGTGCTGTACTTTTAAATCCTATGCACCTTGCAGAAATCTGTGGGATCTGATACACCTGAAAATCCCTTCCAGATTATATTTTATTTTAAAACCAGAGTAAGTTTTGTGTGAAGAACAATATGGCCTGTAAAATAAGTTTAAGATTTATTCAATAATGCTAAGAGGTTCAGCTTGACACACCTGAAAAGAAAAGTCTTAATTTGTTTTCCAAATCTGGCTGAGCTCTGCCAGCAATGGGAGCTATTTCTGCTGTCTGTAAAAATTGCTGTGTATCTCTCCGTAAAAGCTTTAAGCTGCTGTAAAGTTCTCCACAGAGTACAAATACCCCAGATATTGCAGGTGATCATCTTTACATGATTTTATTGAGAGTACAGATTATTGAATACTGAGATAGATAATAAAAGTATAAATTTTCACAGGCTTCGTCTAAAGACAATACTTGGCTAAGGCTGCAGTCTTAATAAGCCCCAAAGAGTATAACGGGACTTACTTTCAAGTAGATATGATTATATTGCAGTGCACATCAAATTATTCCTGATTCAGTTTCTCACACTGTAATTTTACTCAGCAGTCCATCACAATGTATCTTAGCACAGCATTATCTATTGAAAATCTATCTATCTATTCAATAGATAATGCTGTGCTAAGATACATTGTCATCTCAACCCAATATGTATTCTATATATATAAAATCTTAAACAGGACCACTCCTATTAGGAGGTGAGATTACATTGCAATATTTTGCTGTTGGTCCCACTTGTTATGGGAGATTATCTGCCTTTGCCATATCCAGAGCTGTGTGTCACCCTCAGCCTCTGTTGTATAGCTTAAAAAAATTCAGGTTTTGGCATTAGTAGCTGTCTAATCTGACATTATGTAAAGGCTTGGCCCAATATCTTTTGTTGCCTAAGATGGAGCAGGAACTGGTGCTTCCCCACCCTGCTCAAGTCAAGGTGCATGCTATCCAAGACTGCTCAGCTTAGTTTGACACCAGAGACAAATGATCCAACAGGCTAACCTAGTTGCAGCAGTAGACAACATTATTCTAGTTAGCGTTGGGTATCCCTAGTGGCAGTTCGGCGGCTGCCATATAAATTTCCCATGATGGCCCTGGTAAAGTAGAGAAACACTGCATTGGGAAAATTAAATTTGGGAATCCTGACTGTGCCACTGACCACTGGGGAAGAAATGGTTTGAAAGTGGACCAAAGGGCTGGCTTCAGCAAGTCATGGGCCTTGCTATGGCACAAAGCCCCAGACAGGGATGCCATGTGTTGATCACAGGCCTGGCTTGTCCTTAACGTTGTAATGCTACATGGTTGGGCTTAGTCACAAAGAAGCAGGTATAGGACTGCAGCCTTAAACTAGCTATCAAGGCTAACTGTCCAAACCCAAACTTGGTATTGTTTTCAATGTATGATATATTTGGGAAGCAATCCATTGGTTACCAGTCTACTAAATATTTTCGAAAGCTGTTTTCTGTACATTTTGACACCTCATAAGATAATGTAACCTTGGGTTGCTATACGTCTGGAATTTCCTGGACATTTAGCCCTTGTAAATAGCGCCTGGGTATAAATAGCTGAAATGTCTGGGAAAATCCATACGCAAAAAAGCTCCATAACTTGGGGCAAAACTAGAAAAGCTCAACAGTTTTTGTGTGCCGATTTTCACTTTTTGAAATATGGCAACGCAAATTTTGCAGTACTGCTCCTGAGATCAGTGGTGCCTGTGGATACAATTGGACACCTTTTGAATGAAGGACTGAAACTTTCAAAACTGCACTTAATTTTTGTTTCTTGGCATTCTGGAGTGACACCAAGTACAAGGTTGCTATTAATAAAGTAAAAGTTTTGTGCTGGTTAAGTATATGGCTAAGATGGGATGCAAACACACAGTAAGAATTTGCAGAGGGACCAGTTGTGTTAGTTGGCTGCAGCAAAAACAATAAAGAATCTTGCCACATGACTCTTTGTTGTTTTAAGAATTGTGTGTCTTGGCCAAAATAGGAAAATAGAATGCAAACCTGCTGGTTTTGCTTGCTGTTTGATACAGTCTAATTGATGGTTTAGTGTTATTATATGGCTTGCTTGCTTGTTTTTAGCTGTATGTACCTGCCTTGAGACAACATGGTGAAAGGTAGGCAATCAGTAAACATAGCAATTGGAAACTCTGTCAAAATTCTGTAAACAGAGGCTTAGCTAATGCAGCCTAAATAAACTTTAAAAATGCTATGCATCCTCTTCATCCTCTTCCTTGAGCCATCTCATGTCATGGAATTGTAGAGTTGTACCCAACTCTAGTCATCTAGTCCAACCCCTGCCATGCATTTCATTTCAGAACTGGCTATATAAGCATCATACAAGCTGATAGAAAGAAACCTCCCACAGGACAAGTTTGTCATAAAGAATAAGCAGCTACCAAGCTGGACTGCTTTATTTACACAAATTTCAGAATGTGTCTTGATGCAAAACTTTGAATAAATAGACCAAGTGTTCATTCTGTAAACATTTGTATGAAGAATTGCCAAATGTAGAAACTCAGTTACAAACTAATGTAGGTGGGGTGTTTTTTGTTTATATTTGCTACTGAATCATTTTTAAATGGTATTGTAATAGCACACTGGTGCCTTAGCTGAACTG